AGGACTTGCCTGGCTCATTTTAGGACGTCTTCTAGCAGAATGGCGTACGCTAGCAGCAGCACAAGCTACCATCCTTTGTAGCTCATCGGGATCATAGTTTCCTTCTAGTCGCGGGTCTACCAACTCATCGTAATTATTCTCTTCTAGTGCTTTCGTAAGGAAAGGTCTAGCCTGTTCACGAAGGACATGAAACAAAATAATCCGTTACAATTTGAATAAAAGAATAAAATTTCATAAAAGGTCATTTGTAATAGAAATATAACTACCAAACCCTCATGTATAATAGAAAAGATGAATGTCTATGTAGTGCCAGAAAGAAATTCATTTAATATATATGTGTATATATAATAATTATTAATATTATTTAGTATCACTAAACTATCTTTTTTAGAATTCGGAACGTATAAACTATAGATTCGAAATTCTAAGAATATATTAAAATGAAGAAAAAATTAAATTAATTACCCAATCTACTAGACTGTCATCCATGAGTTTATTGGTAGTATCCAAAGGTCTTCTTCCAGTTATAAGTTCCAATAACATTACTCCAAATGAAAATACATCTGACTTTTCTGATAATTTTCCACTTGATGCATATTCTGGAGCTAAGTACCTGTAATATAACAAAATTTATTAGCAACTTTTATTAGGTTTTTATTATGAAAGGATTATGAAATAGATAAAATTACGTCTATTGTTCGTTCTGTCTTATATTAGTTGTTATTTTTCTGATCAAAATTGTATCTAATATATCAACCTTGTATAAAGTGTATAAAAGATGTTTATACACAAATATAAGTTAAATTACGTGTTTACATACAAAGTATGAATTACGCGGCGTAAATATTTTTGGAAAATATAATTTTCTTACCCAAAAGTTCCCATAACACGAGTGGAGACATGAGTATTATTGTCTTCGGTAAGTTTAGCTAATCCAAAATCAGCCACCTAATAAACAAAAAAAAACATTATTGTAAATCTTTTTTTTTTTTATTGGCATAACCAAAAAAAAATATACTTATACAAATGAAAGTTATAAAATGTCTCATTTTTACCATGGCTTCATAATTGTTATCAAGTAAAATATTTGCACCCTTGATGTCACGATGGATAATTCGAGGATGACCTGCATATAAATAGTTTTGTAATTTTAACGTTATAAGAAATGAAATTTCAATTATTTAACGTGATGAAAGATAATTTTGTGATATTATTGTTATTATAGTGGATAAAATTTAGTTATTTTTCGTGAAATTAACTCGAGAGGGTAGAAAGGGAATTTTCATACAATCTTCATGGAGGTAAGCCAATCCCTTGGCTGATCCCAAAGCAATTTTAAGCCTAAGGCCCCAGTCCATAACAGGTCGACCTTTACCTGCAACCACACCACATAATTAATTTCAATTTTCACACTTAAATTGCTCAAAAATGTATTTCAACAATTGATTTTTTTATATATTAATTAGAATTTTTTTGAAATTTCGATATCAGAAAGTGTTATTTCACATCATTAACCAACATCGACTTATTCTCTCAGCAATCACTAATTAAATAACTTTGAGTGGATAAATAGTCAATACACTCCTTCTATTTCATTTCATATGACAGTATTTGACAGATAACAAAATCTTTTTTTTAAAAAAAAAAGACAAAGAAAAGAGACTTTAGCATGTCATTAAAACAAAAACAAAAAAAGAGTTTCAAAATAAAACAAAAAATGTGTCACATCTACATATATTCAACTATAGGTGTGAAAATTGTGTCTAGTACCTAGAAATAGCCACAAAAATATTAGTCCACATAAATTATATTCGAAACAAAATATTGTAGTTAAATAAATATACGTACCATGAAGGTGATACTCCAAAGTTCCATTTGAAACAAATTCATATACCAACATACGTTGTCCATCAGCAATGCAATATCCCACAAGTGAAACAAGATGTCTATGATGAACTCTACTAATAATTTCTACTTCAGCTTGAAACTCTCTCTCTCCTTGTCCGCTCCCGGACTTCAAACTCTTAACCGCGACTACACTTCCATCTGTCAAAACACCTTTATGCACGAATCCGAACCCTCCTTGACCCAACACATTTGCTTCCGAAAATCCACCCGTGGCGGTTGCCAAGTCAGCATAAGTGAATTGAATTTTTGATAGTCCACCATAATTAGGAGATGGTATTGTAGCTGGCCCTCCTCCAGGTACATGGCTTGAATACCCTGAGCTAAATTCACTGCTCGTACTCGCGGCCGGAGGAGGGGGTGGCGGGGTCCACCCGCGACCCCCTTCTTGAGGAGTTCCCATTACACCTGGTGGTGGAGCTAATGTAACAATGTGATCCGTATGAGGACTAGAATAATTGCCCGTATTGTAGTAAGGATCACCACCTACACTAATTCCCAATGATACTTAGTTGTATTGTACGATATATTTTACTTATATACATTGACGATATAAAACATCTTATTTAATTTCTATAGGTGTTACATACAACAAGACAACATCAATAATCCCTAATTTATAAAAAAATCTGACTTCATAGTTGAATAATTAAGGAAAATACAATGTAATATTCTTACAGTAACGTTTAATTTCAAAGACGAATTCAAGATTTAATCTTGAAGGATATGTATATCTATGTCTAAATGAAAAGTTATTGATTCAGTTGAACTTGTGCCTAGCTAGCTATATAATCATTATGTGAAAATGGGAAATTGAGATAATAATTAACATACCTTTTGGTGGATGTGCAGGATCGACATAGTATGGTTGTTTCTTCTTCTTTCTATTACATAATAGGCAGACAATGACAACGGCCAAAATTAATAGACCTGTCACAGATACTGCAGCTACTATTGCAACAGTTGAGGAAGATGATTGTTCATGTGGTGGCGAGTTATTGCTTCCTAAGGAACTAGGTGATTTATTCGATGATGCATCTCGTGAAGGTGGAGAAGTAGGTAACGCCTTTTCAGATGGAAATAGAGATGATTCTGGAGAAATGGGAGTGGGTGGAGAGAATGTAGATGATGGAGGAGAATTAGGTTCGTTAAAGGAGGTATTTTTGGAAGGAGAGGGTTTGGTGTTCGTGGTTGGTGGTGGGGATGATGATGATGATGAAGAGTTTGAGGAGGGTGGTGGTGATTGTGTATTAGGGTTGTCATTGTCATCAGAAGGAGAAGAATCAGATGATTTCGGCGATGGAGGAGAAAAAATTGTAGATGATGGAGGAGAGGGAGAAGATTCTGTAGGAGGTGGTGATGCAGGAGGAGGAGATGATTCGGATTTTGGTGGGGGTGATTGATTAGGGGATGGAGGAGGAGGAGATGAATCAGATTTCGGTGGTGGTGATGATTCAGGGGGTGGTGGTGAAGGAGAGTCAGATTTCGATGGTGGAGGTGAAGGTGAAGAAGAGTCAGATTTTGGTGGTGGAGGTGAAGAAGAGTCAGATTTTGGCGGTGGTGGAGAAGATTCAGGAGGAGAAGGAGGGGGAGAAGAGTCAGGAGGGGGCGAAGAAGAAGAAGGTGGAGTAGAAGATGAAGAATTTGAAGGAGAAGGAGAAGAAGGAGAATCTTCCATGTTTACCAAACGCTGACCTTCCGGACAAGATTGTGCGTGAAATCTACACGCAACTGCTGCCGGAAAATCACTTAATTGTTTGTCTCAACAATTCCTCAATTCCCTTAATACATTGCCATGCAAAGAAGAAGAAAAATTACCTTGCACACATCAACATGAAAGAAAAAATGTGACACAAATTATTCGCATGTAAAAGGTATTAACGAATTGAATTAAGTCAAGATCCTTCAAACATTACAATGCATCTATACAATATGCATTAAGATTCATTGAAGGTTTGCCATATTCATTCGTTTTGAATTATATTGAAGTTGGTTAATGGAGTTTTTGTAGTAAAGAAATTGAAAAGGTAATAAAAATAGAAAACATGTACCTGAATGAATACCGAAAATGAAGGGTTCTCAAAGGGAGAGAGAAATTTTTATTGGGACTAACAATGTGATTTTCCCTTCTTAGGGAGAAAGTCCCTTTCTCTCTTTCCTCTCACTCAAAATTTTGTGCTTTTAAACACCTCAAATTTGGAGGAGACCCAATTCTCTAATGACCTAACAATTGTCAATAGTTTTCTAGTTCGGCCAAGGGTATCATGTTTACTTGTAACTCTAGTTTATCCCTACTCCTGATTGAAATCGACGTATATGAATCCAAAAAAAATAAACAACAAGTAAGAATTAGTATTAGTCTAACAAATAAAAATGACAAAAAGAATTTGTGTATTATATACATACGATATGATTAATATAATCTTTGTATAACAAATATATATAATATATGATTATGTATTAATCTTCTACTATTCGTATGAGGCAAGTAGAATTTAATATTGGATTCTGAATGATATATATATATAGAAATATAAGTTTATATTATTGTATTATAATTATAAGGTATGTTCTATATCCTTAAAAACCTATGTCTTGCTAAATATAATTTCGATTGTTAAGTTATTTGAAGAGAAAAAAAAAATGAATGAACAGAACCCTGTCCCTTTGATTTTTTGCCTAGACAAACCAAGACCACATAACATTGGATAACAATTCAATGGCCTATACCAAAGTACCAAAACACAAACTCTAATTGGAACCAGTTTAATAGATTATAATAATATCTACTTTACCAACAAACAAAAAAAAAAAAAAAAGCACAAACTCAAAAGTAAAAATGTTAAAAAGTACAACTCTTGTTCTATTTTAATTGTAAATTATAGCAACATGTAAAATTTCTCTAATACAAGTACACCATTAAAAAAAAGTACCAAGTAAAAATTAATCTCCATTACAGACAACTAACTCAACATTCAATAGTTTTGAGAGATGAACGACAACGGATGATATTGTATCAATAAAAAAGTACATATATAAATAACTTAATTTTGCGGAGAGAGATATATGTCCTTGATCTGAATCCCCAATACTTTCAAGGTGGAGTGTAAATTTATGAAAACTACAATAAACCATAGATACAAACTCATAATTTTTAAAAACACAATGACTGCATCGCTACAAACCTTAAAAATTAAACTCATATCTCGACGCGCCTGAGACTAATAAAATGTTAGCCAAAGCATTGATCGGTAGGGAGTGGGCCAGGAATGGAACCTTGTTCCAAGAATTGCAACCCAAAGACAACCAAAATGGCCAACAAGGACAAGTAAGACAACCCTTCTACAGCACCCAACAACCCAAAGGGTCCATTAGGCAAACCCGACCCGGTTTTGGACTTGGTATACAATGACCAACCCACAATACCCACCACAACTAAGTAACTTACACCTTCAATTGCTCCAATTGAACCAGCAGGTCCTGGTGGAAGCCCACATCCTGTTGTTTTTAGAGTGTAAAGTGACCATCCAATTACTGGTGTGGATATTAGTCCACCAGCTATGGCGATTTTTTCGATTGGGGTTGTTTGGTTAGACATACATTGGATTTTGAGATGTGTTGATTTGGGATTGTAGGGCTGTTGTTTTTGTGATGGAAGAACACATTTCGGAGATGATGGAGATACAAAGAGCAACATTTTGATATATTTGAGTTCCTGATAAGAAAACGCAATCTAGTATTTGTATCGGACGTTGCAATATCGTCATTTTTTGCCTACTCATTTGTTTTTTTTTTGTTTTTTTGTGTGTTACTATTTTTAAAAAAAATAAAAATTGGGGATTTCATGATAATTACAAGTGCAAAAAATCAAACGCTTACCACCAAATAATTGTACTTATATTTTAATTACGTGATTTTCAAAAATTAAAATACTATGTTTTAATTAAAGTTGTGATTTTCAAAAATTAAAATACTACTCCCTCCGTCCCATTTTATATGTCATCTCTTTCTATAAATAGTTAGTTCATAATACTTGTCATTTCATAAAATCAATGCATAAATTACCATATTTTCCTTTTTTACCATTGTGAGTTATTAACCTTGAAAATATACATTTGATCAACTTAAAAAAATTAAGTAAATGTTTCATGTTCATTGGTCAAATTAATTAATCAAAATAAATTAATTCATATTCATTGATTGAAAACTTGAATTTCAAAAGAATTATATAAGTAGAAGGGTAAAGTTATATTATTTCTTAATACAAGTGCAAAATAAAAATGGGATGGAGGAAGTATGTTTAAATTGAAGTCTGGAAATAATTGGGGGGGCGGGGGGGGGGGGGGGTATACTAAAAGAGAGACGGAGAGAATTGAATAAATTAATACAAATCCAAGCGCACGCGCTATACATGTCTTTGTAATTTTGCTTTAAAAATTGTACATAAACAAAGTGGAATCAATCCCATTAGAACGATCAACCAAGCAATGCCATTGCGACTTCGTGAAGTTCACGCGCATTGGGTCACAAATTGGACCATTTCCTCCATGATCACCTTTCCTTGTAGCCCATTCTTCTCTTCCATCATTTTGGGCTTCCAAGCCCATACCCGACAACACAAACACTTCATGGCACCAATCCAAGTGGGTTAAAAACAGCATTTTTTTTTTGCACAAAATAAGCAAGGAATTTTTTTTCCTTTTTTGTTGGATTGGGACAGACAATTGCTTTCTCTTTCTTTTTTTCTTTATTAAATAGAAATATATTCTGTGCGTGCCGGTGGGCATGTCATCGCTCGTTCGCTCACACAGACACAATTAGCTGACTGACATCTGGCACCACCTGCAAGTTGCAAAAAATATTAGCTCGCTCTAATGTAAAAGTAGGCTCATCATCATCTCAAGTCATAAAACGGTCACACTTAACAGAGACAACTATCCACAAAGCGGTTTTACAAAGCCAATTTAAAACTACTATCCCCCATAATAAAAGGCAGCAAAGCATTCCTTTTTAATTTAAGAAGAAAATAAAGAGTTTCTATCACCTACTACTATAGCAGAACTAGCAAAGATTTTCCTTTCAAACTAGGATTCCCTCTTCATCAATAACTGTCATTAAGCAACGGCTACTGCACCCAAACAAAGAGCGCCAATATTTACTAACCACCTTTTGAACATTTTCTATATCATCCATCATCCATCATCCATCATCATCATCATCATCCTACACCTGAATTTCCCACCAAATCATCTGGTCTGTTACTATCCAACAAAGACATGCTCAAAAGTTAACTACCACCCATCATCACTTTCAGATATTCTTGCTAACGGTGCTTGGATGACTTTGAATAATCTTCTTCTTCGTCGTCTTTGTCGTCCCCACCATCATCATCCTCATCATCTCTCTTCCTCTTCTGAGAGGAGGATGGTGGCTGCTCCTGAACTTCACCATCATCATCCTCTTCATCATCAACATCTTCCTCCAAATCCGCATCTTCATCCCCAATTACTGCCTCCACATCACTGCCTTCAGTATCATCTACTACAACCTGACCAACTGGTTGAACAAGGTAGCCATTCCCATTATCTTCTTCCTGCCATTCATAACAAAATCAGTAAACCTCCCTATTTACCATCATACCAAAAATAAAAGTAACTGCAAAATCCATAACACAACTTTGACACACAACAAGATAATAATGATCACCCCAACTATGCCATAAAAAAAATACAGTTTTTTCCAAGAGGTGAATACAGAGTCAAACAAATACAAAACTACAGCACCATAGAAAAACATCTAAGGAAGTAGAAGATCATTCATACATAACGACGACACTTGCGCCAAGGAATCACACAGAGAAGATCATAGCAGAAGCAAGAAGACAAAAATAACCAATACTTGCAGAAAAAACAGAACAAAGGAACACAAGCAGTGGATTCAACAAGTCAAATTACCCATAGACTTCAGCAATGCAATTTGACAGATCCTTCCAGAAAAGAAACACAGTTTACAAATAGCAAAGAAGTGGAAAACAAGAAATTGAAGTTTAACTTGGGATAATCACTTGATAAAAAAGGATGGCAAATACACATCACTTAAAGGTAAGATTCCCTATACGTTGGCAATTGACAGTCACCTTCTTGAAGAATGGGATAATGATGGCAAAAAAGAGAGAAATCAAAGAAAACGGTGTCAAAGCTTAATTTTTAGGACATCAACTTACAACCAACAAAAAGATGAAAGGACTAAAAACACCATAACCCTATCCTCTTTTCTTTAAATAAAGGATACTGGTACCGTATGCCAATAGGGGAAGACCAAAAAACAGATTCAGGGGAGTTGTTTCAAGCGAAGCTCAATGGGAATCAAGAGATAGTGCATAAAACAGCAAGCCATTCAGGTAGAAGGGGGGAAATAATAGCACAACAGCAACACCAAAGACATGGAAAATCACCTAAAAAAATTTCACTTTGAACCTCTTAACATTTGCTCCTCTAGTATAATAGCAAGCACAAAAATTGAAAAAGAACCCTCAAAACTCTCACCTAACAAATCACAATTTACTATTTGGGTAAGAAAACAAAATACAGTTACAATCTCGGCCAAAATCAGAGTTCCCGGTGGATATTAGACTGGCCACGCAGAATTAATCATATAACTAACGGAAGAGCACGTAGATGAAGCTGCAAGTATCATATAAATTATAAAACCGACACCATTCAACAATCTTCTTGCAAGTTTATTCATCTGTTAAAATCAATTAGCTAGTGACTCTAGTCAGTTTTCTAAACAAAATTATAGTTCAGGTGGACTAGGAATGATTAATCCTAGATGGGTACCTGCATCAGATATTTTGTAGAATACACAGCTTCAACCAGAATAATATATATTACACACCACCATAATCTAATAAATCAGCTTGGTTTTGAAGGTAACAGAATCAATCTGTACACCAAACTTCCAGGTTCAGAGTAACCTGAGGGCAGATCCCACCAACAAGTCAGCCAAAATTACTGGTATTTCCAAAAGCAATCAGTGTAACAAATTGATTAATCACTATGGAGTTCCAATACAATATGAACTCTAACAATTCTTTAGCAGTAGTAAGCAAATCAATCATGCATTTTCATAAAACTAATAACAAGAGAAACAACAAAGCTTAACACAAAATAACCAATTCACCCATCAGAAAAAGGAGTGCAGAATAAGTTATGCAACAAGCAAAAGACATTGAACAAAACAAGTTATGGCATGTGATACATTAAAATGAAACAAGAAATAACCAACTAAAAGAGGAGAAATTTTCACCTCATCTTCAGCATCCTCATCATCTTCAAAATCTCCATCCTCCTCAACACCTAGCTCTTCCTCCCCTGTCTCCCCATCATCATCCTCATCTGCATCATCTTCCCCATGTTCATGCCCATCAATCTCTCCTTCTGCACTATTCAACCTCCCAGTACTTTCGGGTTCAGCAAAAAACCCATCATCGTTATCAACTTCCTCTTCATCCTCATCATCGTCGTCGTCATCATCGTCCTCCACACCATCTTCATCCTCATCACTGTCTTCTATCTCATGAACCTCCACAACATCATCTTCATCTCCCTCTTCATCTATCTCCTCCACAAAGTCCTCATCTTCATCATCCTCATCGTCATCATCCTCCTCTCCATCAGAAGCTGCCTCTACTCTAAAACCATTTGAGTGACTGGAACCATCCCCTTTTGACCCATTAGTCACTCTAGTTATCTCTGTCTCCTCCTCATCAGCATCACTCTCTTCTTCATCCACATCTACGACTCCTTCACTCTCAACCCTATGTCCATTCGTCATTCTGAACGGACGATCCTCTCCATCAACTTCCCCGCTCCCTGGATCATCCTCTTCATCCTCCTCTTCATCTTCCTCCTCATCATCCGATTCAGGCCTCTCATTACCCTCTGCATCCATCTTATCCAAATACTTCAACGACCTAATCAAACCAAAAACCCTAGATCGATAATCCTTAACCCTCGTCACGGGACATTCATAGAGATCAAGGGAGACAAGCCTGAGTTCAGCGAAAGGCCGAAGATCATCGATATCCTGAATCCGGTTATTAGACAAATCAAGGTCCCTAAGAGAATTTAAACCAGCCTCTACAAGGAACTCAAGCCCTCCAGCAATTCTATTGTCCGATAAATTCAACTTCTGTAGATTCTGAAGCCTAGGAAACTGTTCAAGCGATGTAACACCGGTGTTTGCAATCGAAAGGTGCTCTAGATTCTGAAACCTTTCGAAAATTGACGGAGGAGCCAACTTACCATGAATACACTTCACCGCTCCGTCCAACGTTAGGGTTCTCACAGAACCAAAGTTTCTCTCGCCATCTAACGCCGTCTCCACCGCTCTTTCCCAAATCTCGTCCATCAATCAGAACCACAACTCATATAAATACAAATTTTCAGAAAAACTACAGGACCACCAAAACCGATATCCCAGAGCCAAAACGTCGAAACCAAACAGCGTTAAAAGTTCAAAATACCTCAAACTTTCCCGGTATCTTCTTCGTCGGCGCCGGAAAATGCATATAAAACCTAATTTTTTTTTCTTTCTCTCTCTAGTTTCTCTCTCTAACAAGTTTACAAACTATCGCTTGATATTGGGGGAGGCGAGTCGAGGAAACTCGAGGTCGAGTCAGGGTTGGGAGATAAAGAGTAATCAGGGTTGAGTTAACTAACCAGAGTCATGGTTAATATGTGTTTGTTGAGAGGGTAATTTACCACCGCTGATTTTGAGAAACACGGATCGATGACATGGATATAAAATGAACGGCCGAGATTGAAGTACCGTGTGTTTCTTTATCAAAATGCTGAAGACTCGTTTTTTATTTTGTTATTGATAAGAACGGACACGTCACTGTTGACGCTTGTATATCGGGGATGTATAAAAAATACCCTTATGTTTCTCTAATATCACGGAAATACCACTGGCCTTTGCACAAATTTTTTTTTTTCTTTTTCTTTTTTCTTTCACATAGAAAAAGAACTCTTTCTTTTAATTTTGTTTTGCCTATATAAGTGAAAAAATTATTGCATACCTTTTATAACTGATGAATGATGATACTATAATTGTTATTTGTGCATGTCCATAACTACAGTAAAATTTACAATAATTATTTTCCATCTATGTAAGATAATACTTTCAGATAGGAAAATAGTAAGATATTGATCATAAATTAGAATTAAAATAACAAATAAATTATTAAAAATACTATATCGTGGCAAGTCACTATTTTAAAAGAGATTTCAATTGAATAGAAATGCGGAAAGAAAGAGAGCAAAAGTATGACCGTTCAATAAAAAATATAAATAAGCAAGATTTCGATTAGGCACGTATCGAAGGAGCAAATTAAAGGAGGAGGTAGCAGCAACTTTAGCAGGAATGTGATGAAAGAAAGAGAGTAGAAGTATGACTTTTTCAGGAAAAATATGAATAAAATAAGATTTTGATCAGACACGTATCGAAGGAGCAAAAGAGGAGGTAGCAACAATATTAGCAAGAGCAGCAGGAAGCAAACAAAAGCGTGTTCTAGAATCAGGATTATAAATTTCACTCAAAACACGTGCGCTTATCACTTCAAACACGTGCACTTATAGCTGAAAGTTTTAAAAATTGTATAAATACCTAGAAAAATAAAAAGAGAAAGAAAACATTGAAAAAGAAGAGAGCAATTAGAAAACGTTGTTGAAGAAGAGGAAGAAGAGAGGAATTTCTTTATATTGACAAGAGAAATCTCAACAAGTATATATAGATAGATGATAATGTTTGAACAGTAAATGTCTTTTAATTCAGGAGAATATATATTGACTAACGTTAATTTAAGGAAACAAACCTAATTAATTCGGAAGAATAAATCTTGACTAAATTTAATTTCAAAGGAATGAACCTTGACTAACTTTGACTTTCAGAAAATGAACTTGGTTAATTCAAGAAAATAAATTTTTGACTTTACACTACCACTCATAAATAAAAATACCAGCAATCTCCCGTAAATTCAAAAATAATATAATTAAAATGTCACGATCCAACCCATCACCTACAATACAAGAACCCTTTCACCCAACTAAAATTAGGCAATGTGGAAAATAAACAAATTACTACAAAAAAAATCTTTTTAATACCTTTGAAAATTCATAAAAACATCAAACCTCACAGTGAGTACATATTTGTTCTCTTTGATTACCACAAGTCCCAGAAATGGCTAAAACCTAAAAGTAAAAGATTTTTGACTAGTTTAGATCAAGTCAACTTTAGTTGGAAAAAAAATTCCTTGTATGAATTTAACCATAATAAGAAAATCTTCTCCATGTAACTTTTAATATGTATTATAGTTAATATTTAATATCATTAAAATAATGATATAATAATTGTAGAAAAATGTGAAAAGATGATTTTGTCTAAAGCGAGTCTTGAGCAAAAGTTTAAATAATATTTTATAGGACCTTCATGTTTCAATATAGTACTAGTTAAGTGTACGTGCTTTGCACATGTGTATCACGTTATTTAATAATAAATACACACACGCACGCACGCACGCACACAAAAGACCAAAAGAGGAGGTAGCAACAACATTAGCAGGAAGCGAACAAAAGTGTGTTCTAGAATCAGGATTATAAACTCATTTCAAACATGTGCATTAATAGCTGAAACTTTTAAAATTGTATAGATACCTAGAAAAATAAAAATAAAAGAAAACTTTGAAAAAGAAGAGAGCAATTAGAAAACGTAGTTGAAGAAGAGGAAGAAGAGAGGAATTTCTCTATATTGACAAGAGAAATCTCAACACGTATATATAGATAGATGATAAAGTTTGAATAGTAAATGCCTTTTAATTCAGGAGAATATATATTGACCAACGTTAATTTCAGGGATCAAATCTAATTAATTCGGAAGAATAAATTTTGACTAAGTTTAATTTTAAAGAAATAGACCTTGACTAACTTTAATTTTCAGAAAATGAACTTGGTTAATTCGAGGAAATAAATTTTGACTTTACACTACCACTCATAAATAAAAATACCAGCAATCTCCCGTAAATTCAAAGACATTATAATTAAAATATCACGTTCCAACCCATCTCCGACTTAAACACCTAGATACGAGAACCCTTTCACCCAATTAAAATTAGGCCAAGTGAAAAATAAACAAATTACGACAAAGAAAAATCTCTTTGATACCTATAAAAATTCAAAAAAACATCAAACCTCACAATGAGTACACATTTTTTCTCTTTGATAACCACAAGTCCCGAAAATGGCTATAACCTAGAAATGAAAGATTTTTGACTAATTTTTTTTAGATCAAGTCAAATTTTAGTTGGAAAAAAATTTGTGGTATGAATTTAACAACCATAATAAGAATATCTTCTCCGTATAATTTTTAATATATTTATTATAGTTAATATTTAATATCATTAAAATAATGATATAATAATTGTAGGAGAATGGGGAAAGACGATTTTATCTAAAGCGGAGTCTTTTAACGAAGAGCAAAAGTTTAAACAATATTTCTAAGGACAATAATAAATCTTGAAAGCTCTTATTATCCCAGCATCACAAGGTTGAAATTAGTAAGATATAATGATTTTAATGTATTCATTGTACTTTATGTATAATTTTTTTAAAATGAGAAATCAATAAATATGATACATAAATTAGTAAGATACAATTATTTTGATATAACCTTCATTAAATCTCAAACCGTTCTTTAAATTAATAAATATTAATTTATCTATTAAATAATATCTCTATAAAATAATAACATTTCATGATCCTACCTCTATTAATTTATAGATGTTTTACTGTATACATAAAATATGATTTATGTATAATATATTATTAAGTTAAAAAACTTTTCAAAATAATATAAACTTTTTTAAGAATATAATTTTTACCCAATTAAATATGGTTTAATGAAGGTATCTATAGGGTTAAGTCAAAAGTGTTCTAAGCTCCCATGAATGCTAATACGTTTAATAGGATTAAAGTATATACAAGCAATAACTCTTGAAAGATAGTGATCTAACAATTTTCTATACAGTCTATTCCATATGAGAAATGGAAATGAGGGAACTATTCCCAAACGGGTCAAAATAGGACCTTAGACTGTGAATTGTATGTTCATTGGATATGCTACAAATAAATAGTAAAGCATGTCGATTTATGATTCATAAGTCTGAACCGTCGGATAGTCAAGTGAAGGGTCTAAACAACCTTGGAAAGAACCAAAGGAGAATGTACTTAATAAAGAGATTCAGAGGCGTAGTAAATGTCAATGGACAAATTACTTCCTTCGAGTTTGATTTTGTAAAATTTCTTCTTGAAAATGAATCTCATGTATTTGAAGAAGCTATGTCCTCTGTGGACTCATTCTTTTTGAAAAAAGACTGTCAATAATAAGATATATTAAATCTTGAGCAACCATACTTGACAGTTGGTTGATCTTCCTCCAGGAAATAAACCTTTGGGTTCAAAGAGGATCTACAAAAGGAAAAGAAAGTTGATGAAACAAAGCAAGACTTGTTGTCATAGGCTTTAAACAATAAGAAAGCCTTGATTATTTTGACACATAATAGTCACTAACTAGGATTACATCTATTCAAATGTTAATTGTGCTAGTTGCAGTATATGACTTTCAAATTTGTCAAAATGGATGTGAAAATATATTTTTTTTAGATGGAGAATTGGAAGCAGAAATTTACATGAAACAACCTGAAGGCTTTGTGGTTCCTGGTAAAGAAAAGAAAGTCTGTAAACTTGTTAAGTCACTTTGTGAACTAAAAACAAACGCCCAAATAATGACATGTGAAGTTTGACCAAACTATGTTGGCAAATGAATTCAAGATTAATAAATATGATAAATGTTTTTACATTAAAGACTCTTCAAATCACAAGGTGATTGTTTATTTTTAAGTTGATAACATGTTGATCATCAAAAGAGACATTTCTGACATAAATGCTACTAAGCCTATGCTAGAAAGCAACTTTGATATGAAAGACATTGAAGTTACAAATGTGATTGAAAAGTTACGTGAAGTATTTGAATTTCAATATTGTCAAGACTCCAATAAATGTGAGTTTTGTACTTCAAAAGAATGAAGGCAAAAGTGACTCACAATTGAATTATGCTAGAGTATTGAGAAGTATGATGTATATCATGAAGTGTACGCGATTAGATATAACATGTACTATTAGCAAACTGATTCAGTTCATGAGTAATCTTAATCAAACTTATTAGATGACAATGAAAAGATTTTTAGAGTATTTAAAACATACTTTAAAACTATGTTTTGCATTATAACTAATATTCAACAGTATTGGAAGAATATAGTGATGCAAATTGAATCACCAGGTCAAATGAAGTAAAATTCACGAGTGTATATGTATTTACTCTTGGTGGAGGAGTAGTCTCTTGAAAATCTTCCAAACAGAAATGTATCGATCACTCTACTATGAAAGCTGAGTTTATCACTCTAGATAAGGTCAGTGAAGAAGTTGAATGACTTCGAAATTTCTTAAATTTTTTTTGGCCTAAACCTTTAGCTTCTAGTATGCATACATTGGTGAGAGTCAA